GGCGTGAATTTAATGTGAATTAATTTGGAGTAGGTTCTGAACCCGTCTTAGGACGGGTTTACAGWCAAAATCCTCTCAGGTCAGATATGAATGTGAGCCCATGGAGATGTGTGAATTCAAAACTACTTCCTACAGTTCCTTTACTAAAGGGACAACTGTCAGAACAGAAAAATGCCCTGGATCCACCTCAGGGAGCCACCCAGAGCTCCTGGGGAGGGCTGGGCTGCTTCTCAAGAGTGAGAGACACCAGGGTGAAACCAAAAGCTGTTTTCAGATTGCTTCCTCTTTGCTTTGTGGGGGGAAAAAGCTGTTTGGTACACTTTGATCTCATTCATCATTTAACCTTCACCTGCAGGATGTGGGGTTTGAAACACGTGAGAAATGTGCGTTCTTAAAATACCAACATCCTTAGAACRTGGAGCGGGCTGGAAATCAGACAAATTCAGTGAATCCACGCCATGTGCTGGGTATTTTTAGTGAAAATATTGCCATTTTACTCAGAATAAGCATCTCTTCTAAAAAACTTCCATCACAGACATGCACCTGGGCTTCTCCTGTGCCAGGGCAGGAGGGATGAGCTGGCTCCATTCCCCAAGCCACCCATGTGATTTCCTCCACCGTGGAGGTGCCACTCGGGCTGGAGCTGCACTGCCCTGTGTGTGCAGGAGCCAGGTGGGAATTTTCCATTAAAAATAGCAAATATCAAATTAGCAGGGATATCAAACATCCATGGCAATGCCACTGTTTTTCCCTGCTCAGCTCCACCCTTGGCATCCCTGGGGCAGCTCCTCTCAGATTTCCCTGCTCCTGCTGTGCTTTCCTGGGAGCAATGGGACTTCAGCAGTTGCTGCTGCCAACTGTGCTCCTTTCCTTCTGGATTTGGAAATTYTTCTGTCTTGTAAATGAGCAGAAATGCTTTCATTCTTAAGTCCCAGCTACTTGTGGTGCAGAAAACTGTATTTGCTGTCAACTCCGGAGCGGCTGCAGCCAGAGGAATGACATCAGTGATGCAAGGCCAGAATCTCGACTCCACAAGGCAGAGCCTTGGTTGGGCAGAGCTGAGTTTTTTTCAGCCACTCTGGGCTGAAACAGGCTSATTTTTAGGGAATGAGCATTGTGATTTTTAGGGAATGAGCATTGTGATTTTTAGGGAATGAGTGTTGTGATTTTTAGKGAATGRGYRTTGTGATTTTTAGGGAATGAGCATTGTGATTTTTAGGGAATGAGCTGCCTCGTTTTTTATATAGCTCCAGAGCTGATTGTTAGCACACTGATCACAATAATTACATTATTAATACATAATTATTGCTATTAAGACAATGGGATGTGTGTGAGCCCTGCAGRCTGCTCTGGTGCATGAGCTCCAACATCAGGCCTGGAATAAACTCAAAATAAACCCCAGGCAGAAAGCAAGCAKGAAGCTGAACAGGACTCATTCAGCTTGAGCAGTGCTTTTTGCTCCAGAGTTAACAAAATATAGAGAGTTTAAATGGAAAAAAAAAAGTGATTCACATGCCTTGCTATTTAATAAATGAAACCTGCAAATATTGTTCACATTGACTGAGCTGCAGTTCACACAGAATTGCAGCTCACACAGAATTGCAGTTCACACAGAATTGCAGTTCACACAGAATTGCAGTTCACACAGAATTGCTGTTCACACAGAATTACTGTTCACACAGAATTGCAGTTCCCACAGAATTACTGTTCACACAGAATTGCTCCTCTGTGTGCTGCAATGAGTTTTTGGTCAATAATGCTGACTCTGATTATTTGTTGTGCCCAATGTGGAACCAAACTTKGTAACTTTTGAGCTGTGCTTCACRCCAGCAGTCCCACCTGTGTTCCCASWYTGTGAAAGCASATCCAGTCACCAGTTTGCCCCTCACAGGCAGGATGCAGAAACAGTTTTTGGGATRTTCCTAACCCATTTTTGGACTGCTGCCTGCATGTTCCGTTGCGATAGCTGACACATTTTCCTGCCTTTGCATGTTGTTAGCAACTGTGGTGTTATTTGTGCAGTTTGATGGAGTCTGTGGCTGAACATGACACARTGGCCCAGCCAGATAAACACTGATGGTTGCTGCTGAGCCCTCAGTTCCAGCTGTCCCCTTTGCAGAAGGGCTTTTTTTTAAGAACAAACCCAAATGGATGAAAAGTGATAAATACAATGCTGTTTTATAGAATRTGAACTGCTGCCTTGGAAAAGATTCCCTCTTCTTCCCTCTTACAAGGGCAGAAAACATCTTCTCTCAATTATTTTTTTTCCTGTATTCCGTGCATCTTATTTGATGTGTTGGTTGGTATGAGCAGAAATGTTTGCTAATTTTTCTTTTTAAAATATTTGTACCATTGAAACCATGCAGTAGAGCAGTTTRCTACTTTATACATACCTAGTTTACAGGCACAAAAGAGAGTTATAAGCTTTTAGTGTAGATGATTTATTTTATTTTGGGGAAACRAGGAATGCAATTTGGGAAACTCCAAAAGAGTGGCAGAGTGCATTTCTTTTGTAATATTCTACACTCATACAAAATAAATTAAAAAATAAATTAAAAATTGAAAATCTCAGTGCAGAGAAAAYATTCTAAATTTATCTCCAGGTTTACACCACTACATTCTTTATCTGAAATTCTCTCCTGCAGAGGTTTTTGATGTAGAACAAAGCTGGAGCAATGAGGAGTGTTTTGCTCAGATGTGAAGGCAAAATTTTACCCAGGTGGGAGAAGGGAGAGGGGAGTCTTGCTGCTCACTGCAGCCGAGAGAGCAGCAGGAAGGGCTGCAATGGTTTGGGGGCCTCACACAATTCTGCTAAAATCGTTCTCATTCAGGTGGTGCCTGCCAAAAATGCCCAGTGTTSGTGTAGCTGTAGGATTTGCTGACATCTGATGAGCTGTTTCAGTGTCTAATTATTGTCACTGTTGAGTTTTGAACCCTCTTTCTAGTCTGATGTTTCAATTTCTGCTCCCAGTCCTTTGTTAACAAATTTCTCTTCATGTATGTTCATACAAGTTGTGATCTTGCCATTCCTTAGATTTCTCTTTATTAAAAGAAATCCATCTCCTTTAAGATGTTTTCTGATCCTTTATTTGCATTACTGTTGTTTTTCTGATTCTTGTAGAGCTTAATGCTGAATTACCCTAGCTTATCCAAAAAGGAAATAAATAAACTTTTTAAAATATTTTAACAAGACAACACATTTTTCTAGCCTACTATTTTAACAAGAAAGTACAATGTTAGCCCATTGCTGCAGTGTCTTCTATGGGATATCATGAGTTGTGGGTTATTTGCCTGCTCAGGACTGAATCCCCAGCTCACCTTTTGTTTCCAGGTTACAATCTTTGGATTTCTCAGCACCCCAGGTGTTCCACAGCTCTTTGCACTCCAGCCTTCCTTCTCCTTGCTGTGTCACTGGCAGATTTTCCCTCTGCAGTGAGCAC